TATATCCTTGTCTTAAAATAACACACGATAACTACCTTAAGCGTACAAGACAGCCATTCTGCTCAGGCCCTAACTTTTAACGGCGTTACAAGTAACGCGTTACTTCCCTACCCTGGTTATTTTACAATCTGACATTCGTAGAACATTAATTACGGATTAATACTCGCAGATAAGCCATTCTATCGCGGTTTTACCTCTTTGTCCAACGAAATATACCATTGCACCTTAATGAGGCTCAAAACGGCGGATATCGATCAAGAGGTGAAGGAAAGAGCTATTGCTTGCATGGGACAGATCCTCGCGCACTTTGGAGATACTCTGTCGGACAAGTTACACGTATGCCTACCTATTTTCCTAGATAGGTTGCGCAACGAGATAACCAGGCTTACTACCGTTAAGGCTCTAACTTGCATAGCTGCGTCTCCCCTGAGAGTCGATCTGAAACCGATTATGGTAAATTGGTAAAATACAAGTACACGAAATTGGGGAAATTGCGCAGTCCCATCTTTACAAGCTGCCGTTACATTGTTGTAGGAAGAAGCAATACCCATTCTTGGATCTTTCCTGAGGAAGAACCAACGAGCTTTGAAACTCTCTTCTCTTCCACTCCTCGACATATTAGTATGCAATTATAGCTCGGCTCTGCATCCAGATTTACTTGATAAGGTAAGAAATATTATTTACTGTATATATCAATACTTAAAAAGTCACTGGATGATTATTGTTCAATTTTTGCTTTTCGCAGGTTACTGCGGAGTTACCTGCATTATTAAGCGAGACAGATCTGCACATTGCGCAATTAACGCTGAATCTTCTGACTACCATAGCGAAGCTACATCCAACTGCCCTGACCAGGGTTTCCGAACATATCTTGCCAGAAATACTCAACTTGGTGAAATCGCCGCTTCTTCAAGGTAAAGTGTATCTCGTTTTAAGATTACACAAATTACAATTTTCTGTAGTCTTATTGTAGCTACACAAATTGAACTGCGAATTTTTGTCACACAGGTGTCGCGTTAAATTCAATGCTCGAGTTTTTCCAAGCTTTAGTGCAAGCGAATTTGCCGGACCTGGGATACAGAGATCTTCTCTCACTGCTATTAATTCCTGTTAGTACTTCGCTTCACAAGCAAGCTTTCCACTCGTTGGCTAAGTGTGCAGCCGCACTGACAATCACGTGGCATGATGAAGCGCAGTGCATCGTACAGCAATTGCTGAAGGACGTACAGAATCCAACAGACGTTGCGCGACACATATTCGCCTTGCTCGTCATTGGAGAAATAGGAAGACACGTGTAAGAGGATTGCGATTTATTTCCAACGAACTGTATTATAAGAAAAAAAAAGGATTTATCTTCAAAATAATGTTCCCACAGAGATTTAAGCGGAATTAGTACGTTGAAGCATATAATTCTAAATTCGTTTTCATCATCTCAATCCGAAGAGATTAAGTCCGCGGCCAGTTACACGTTGGGAAATATCGCAATTGGGAACCTACCCGAATACCTGCCTTTCATACTTCAGGAGATTGAAGCGCAGCCGAAACGTCAATACCTGCTTTTACATTCATTGAAGGAGGTAGCGATTCATGCAATCATGATTTTTATTCCCGTTCAAATCTTTTGTAATGTAAGATCATTTCTGAAATTCCGTTTGCCCCTGCAGATCATTACGAGTCAGTCGGCCAGTCCGTCTGGCGTCTCGCACTTGCAGAATTTCGTGCCTTCGATCTGGATGCTCTTATACAGGCATTGCGAATGCACGGAAGAAGGTACTCGTAACGTCGTGGCCGAGTGTCTCGGTAAGCTGACGTTGATCGATCCCGCGACTCTGTTACCAAGACTGCAAGAATCGCTCAAGTCACCGTCGGCTCTTATGAGAACAACGACGGTCACCGCTGTTAAATTTACCATCTCTGATCAGGTACTTTAACCGCGACGTACAATTATATGTATCTATTTCTGTTCCTGGAGGAATGGAGTACTATTTATTATCCAGTTTACCTTAAAATTTGCCTTTTTCTTGTTTCTATCCCGGCAGAATATCTTTCAAAAATTTTTGTATCACTTGCTAGTTTGCATTACCAAATATTGAGCCTGATTTTTTTTATTTGGCAAACAACTATTTTACCACCAAGTTATTCAGTGGCTTAACACACACACACACAACACATTTAATTAAATTATTGATCGACTTTAAACTGGCGAAAATTTATTTAACAAAAAACCCAATTGTAAGGTCGATCAATAATTTAATTTAATATTTTAATACTGGCAACCTGAAGAATTGAAGTGAGTTTTTATCATACATGTTTAATTTAATATTATATATATTTACAGCCACAACCAATCGATGCCATGTTAAAGCAATGTATGGGTAACTTCTTAATAGCTTTGGAAGATCCTGATCTTAACGTGCGTAGGGTAGCATTAGTCGCATTTAATTCTGCTGCGCACAATAAGCCTATGCTGATACGGGATCTCTTAGACGCAGTGCTGCCGCATCTTTACGCAGAGACTAAGATCAAAGTTAGTAAGATTTAAATATAACAATAAGAGAAAACTAAATCTCAATTTAAACCAACCGGGATTGTCCGAGTTGCCGTCGAGACTTCGTCATAATATAATAAACCTTTCACTACAGAAAGAACTGATCAGAGAGGTCGAAATGGGTCCCTTCAAGCACACTGTAGACGATGGATTAGATCTTCGCAAAGCGGCTTTTGAGTGTATGTATACCTTATTGGATTCATGTCTCGACAGACTGGATGTCTTTGAGTTTCTAAATCATGTAGAGAGTGGTCTCAGAGACCATTACGACATCAAAATGCTGACTTATCTTATGACTGCGCGTCTCGCGCAGTTATGCCCGACCGCAGTCTTGCAGAGTGAGTACATCGTGCACGATTACCTATTCGTTCGGACCGGGATTCTTGATATTTTCAGATTATTTAATATTCTAATCTTGGTTCTCTAATGTTTGTCACATAGGGTTGGAGCGATTAGTCGAACCGCTGAAGAGTACTTGCACGATGAAAGTAAAAGCGAACTCGGTGAAGCAAGAGTATGAGAAGCAAGATGAATTGAAACGTTCCGCGTTAAGAGCTGTCGCAGCGTTGTTAACTATTCCTGACGCAGGTAAATAAAATTGTTTTGAAATTCAATTAATTTAAATGACATATTGATTGTTGTATTGTCATTGATTTATGGACAGTTTAAAAAAACTTAAGAGATTAACCGTAAATAAAATTTCTTAAGCACTTGTGTATTGTATAGTAACAACTTTTAATCGAACGGCCAAATAGCATTAAACAAGTAAATTTATGGTGTCAATAATAAATATAAATTTCATTTTAAGATAAAGATTCCTTTTTATTAATAGTTGCAGTTGCCAATACGTCAAGGATAAGTTTCAAGTTATTGACATCTATCAAAATTAATTGCTCTTTACAACGTGATACTTGGTCTCTATTAATGTTAAAAACTGTGTACTTATTTTAATTCTATTAATGTATTCAGATATGCTGAAGAAGGCACTGTGTTGCCGAAACGCGTACATGTAAATTTTATGTATTTTTTTAAATTTAATTTATATTTATCATTGACACCATAGATTTGTTTGTTTAATGCTACTTGACCGTTTGATTAAAATTTGTCAATAGATTAAATTTGCCTGAAAATGATCTCGATTTACATGCAGCATGAAATTTACGACGTATATACGTTCATTTTGTAGATAAAAATCCATCGTTGAGCGAATTTGTCGGGCAGATCAAGGGCACTCCGGAATTGCTGCCGCTCTTTGAGATAATACAAAAGGACTGCACTGGGAATAATGTGAACGAAGCGAACGCAATGGATCAGAGCTAAAAATAATTGATTTCTTTTTTGTATTTCGTATAGATGAACGTGGGTTAAGCGCATTCGTGATCATACTCTATCCATAGTTTATTTCTATACATTATTTTTTCATTATTATTCAAATCTTCGATTTGAAGGTAGTTTCTAATGAATGTGAGTTAATGTAGCACATCTCATGTATAAATTTTAAAATAAATTTGTCGGCAATAATCATTTTATCATTCTGTGCATAATTGCCTATCTACTAATTATAATTATATCTATATATGTAATATATATGTATCTATTTATATATCTAATTATACATATGTATATATTAATCTAGATATGTATACAGAGTATTTCGAGATTCAAGAATAATAAGGTTGCAGTGCAAAAGTTGGTGAAAAATTAAGTAATATTCTATTCATTCTATTTTTGAAATAAAATCTAGTATTTTAAGTATATGTGTAATAAAAATATATCTGCTGATTCCGCTTCCGCGTATTCTGCTCCGTGGGACGTCAGCCCGTATCAGATTGAGATTAGATTATACGGATTGAGATTAGATTGAAATATGACTACAGTAAAGTTTACTAATCTCAAGTTGAGTAAAGCCCGTATCAGACTACGGATTGGGATTGAGATTGGATTAAAATTTAACCAATCGCAGTAAAGTTTACTAATCTCAAGTTCAGTAACTTTTACTCTGATTGGTCAAATTTCAATCTAATCCCAATCCCAATCCGTAGTCTGATACGGGCTTAACTTTTACTCTGATTGGTCAAATTTCAATCTAATCCCAATCTCAGTCCGTAGTCTGATACGGGCTTTAGGGCCAGTTTCACAAACATCGGTTAACTGTTAACTAGGGTTCTGCAGTTGGGGTTCAGTCGACTCCCCATCTTTTTCCATCTTATTATTTAAGAAGAGACAGAGAATCAATTAACCTTCGGTTAACAGTTAACCAATGTTCGCGAAACCGGCCCTTATTCCTATTGCCTGTGCTTTTCAATTGTGTGATAGGCTGTACTGTCGCGCATGCGCGAAAAACACGACCAGTCCGGCACTATTAAAGGCCAGTTTCACAAACGTCGGTTACGTGGTGGTCGGTTAACTGCTAACCGAAGGTTAACTGATCCTCTGTCTCTTCTTAGAGAACAAGATAGAAAAAGATAGGACGTTGACTGAACTCTGGTTAACAGTTAACCAACGTTTGTGAAACTGACCCTGAGAACGCGGCGTTTAGCGATTGAGATTATCAATCATGATCCGGATCGTCGGTTGGAGTTTGACAAGTTTGAAAGGACAGGCACAATTATATTCATAAGATTTCCATTTGTAGATATTTTTACAGATTTGTACAGATTTACGTTGAACTTGTCTCCAGTTAAAAACTACCGCTCGCAAGTACGACGTGTTGAAAGGAAAGGGAGAAAACAATTACGTCGAGCATAATCCTCTCCATCGACGTCATTGATAACGCTGTTATCACTTGCCACCACGTTTTAATGACAGACACAGATGTGGCAGTTTAGAATACGGATTTACATACTATTAAATTACACCAAATTGCAGTCCCAAAATTATCTGCCGCACGGTTGACGCGTTCCGATCCTGTGCTCATTTCGCAAACGGCAGCAACATGCGAGGGACGATAATCTGACAGATCCCGGTAGATGCGAATTTCCGCAGTAGCCACTCGGCTATTGCAGCAGGTATCTCAGCACAGGTATTCGGCTGAGAGTGTTGTCTCCGAAATTACACAAACCTTTAATCGAGATGCAACTGGAAAGGGAACTGGCGTCGAAGTACGCTTACATCACGCTCGTGATTGCAACCTATTGGTAAGTCGCCAAGTGACAGCTTATTAAATACATTTATGTAAACTGGACTTGCCCGGAAGTGCAGAGAATATGACAATTAATAAGTAAACAAAATGAAGCTCGCGTTTGCCAAGTGACAAGAGGACAAGACACTTGAACGAGCAAAACATTGAAGCGTCAAATGTTATTTATTCTAAGTATTCGAAAAAAAAATAGGAACGTTTCGACTACATAAAGATTGATTTTAACAAGCACGTGATAAAAGAAATTTGTCCGAGTCAAAGCAAAAATAGAGGCCACATTATAATTTAAAGCAAACGTTATATATATATGAGAATCTTATAGCGTGTGCAACAAAATTTAAGAAAGTCACGAATGTGTTCATAATAGTTGAATACAAAAAGGCAAATTAAACTTTGCCAGTCGAGTCGTCTAATAATTTTCTCATTTAATTGTTCACTGGCGACGAGAAACCTTTATTTTTGTTATAAAAAGTAAAATTCAGCAAAGGATGAAAAGAAGTTCCATGATAGACTCCTCGGTCCAAAGCGGGAATGTATTGTAGTCAAGAGCGTACAGTAATTATTATTATCTTTATAATCCCTTGCAGAAGAAACTGGGGATGAAAAATCACTGAACAATTACTAGAGTTCGGTAATTGAGTTATTAGAAATTTCTGGTGTACAGTAATTTTCTAGCAGTTACTTACATTTCTCTAAGGGATTAATATCTTGGGCGATTTCTCTCAAAGCAATCTCATCTTCAAGCGCACCTTTCAAATGCTTTCAGGGTAGTGTCCATCACAACTGTATTCGTGAATAAGGCACTGCTGTCCAGTGACACCGTCAACCTGGATGCTCCCCTGTTTGTCACTTGGTTCCAATGTATAGTGAGCGTCGTTATCTGCGTTACTTTGCGCAAAATATCCCAGTGGTTCCCAGACTGCATTGAAATTGCGAACGGCAGTCCGTTTAGGAGGGACACTTTAAAGAAGGTGTGAAAACCGCTTCAGGAATATTATTGCACGATATGTTTTTTCACTCCCAATGATTGGAGTTAAATTATTTAGTTTTGAGGCAAGGCTCTGCACGAAGATTTCGTTTCTACCTTGAATTAAGGGACGGATATTCGATACATTTAACGACAAAAGTATACAAATATATAATTTAATGTAGAGATATAAATTACTGAGTGTATGATAAAGTATGACTCTAAATTCCGCGATTTCTCTCGAATAATTCTTACGTGTGAAGGTGTATAAAGCGTTCGTATGTATTGTACCATTTTTTTAGATACTACCGTTATCAATTCTATTCACCGCAATGATAGCGACCAACAACTTGTGCCTGAAACACGTCGGCGTCGCATTTTACTACGTGGGCCGTTCCCTAACGACAGTATTCAACGTCGTGTTCACCTACATTTTACTTGGTGAGAATCCCGCAAATCCGGTTAGACCGCACGGAGATTATCGGGCGAGCTAATTAGCCAAAGTTGCAGGGCAAACGACGTCTCTGAAATGCGTGACGTGCTGCGCGGTGATTATCGCCGGGTTCTGGCTGGGGGTGGATCAGGAGCACGTGGCGGGCTCCCTGTCTGTCCTCGGGACACTTTTCGGCGTGCTTGGATCGTTGTCGTTATCCCTGTACTCGATCCGCATGAAACAGACGCTTCCGGTCGTGAATCAGGACATCTGGTTGCTTTCCTATTACAACAACGTGTACAGTATTATTATCTTCATCCCGTTAATGATAGTCAGTGGCGAGCATACGACTGTATATAATTACGAGAAGCTCGGACACCCACTATTCTGGGCTGCGATGACGGTCGGTGGCGTGTTCGGCTTCGCCATCGGATACTTCACCGCGCTTCAAATAAAAGTCACGTCTCCCCTGACGCACAACGTCAGCGGCACCGCGAAAGCGTGCGCCCAGACGGTTCTGGCGACTTACTGGTTCAACGAGCGGAAATCGTTCCTCTGGTGGCTGAGCAACGTCGTTGTCCTTACCGCCAGCGCGTTTTACGCGAGGATCAGGCAACTGGAGCTGAGTAAAGAGTACAGAGTCGAGACGGGACAACTGAAAGTCTAACAACGGTAATGGGGTGTAACAATTTTATTCGAGCCTTTTTACATTTAATGTTACTTCGCGCAACTGTGTATATAAATATTTTTATACTTTTAGAAAATACGGAGCAATATATGGGAGAGATGCTATTCTTTACATACACATGGAAAACTGCTGCAGAAGCTTACTCGGCAGTTTCACAAAAGTATGTATATGTATGTATACATATGTACAAATATCTCAAACAACTTAATATTAATTATCAAGTATATGATGTTTACAGTTCAGCCAGTTTCTACACGATATAAAGAAACCTGCTATTGCGAGTTCAGAAACGCTTGCACGTATCTGGACATTGTCCCTAATATCACAGCATTGTGTAATCTCCGAAATTCTCGGAGATCGCCAATCTCTTGCGTACAAGTATATGCCTTTAACAAGGCGTATATGGCTTAAAATCGGGATGCAATTCCGTTGCCACGACTGTCCGAGTGACTCGATAGCGAATCTTTCCTCTTGACAATTGCGTTTACGCTTCGCGTGGACGAGATGTCGTCGTGAGACAACTGCGATAACATGGAGTACAATCGTGCCTGCAACGCAGCCTCCATCGAGTGTCTTTGATTGTTTTCAATCACTATACCGTCGGAGGCGAAATAGTACCTACGCAAAAGTATTCAATAAATTGATAACATCGCCAATATGTCTTGCGCCGTTTGTTTATTTGAGATTATTAAATTTCTTCAGTTATCAACGGTCCTCGGTCTTGCTCCGACATGTCTACAGTCCAGTCGGAAACGTAGTGCATCAAATTTTATTGACAAACTAGCCAGTCGTGGTCGACAAAAATGACTTTTCATTTGTTTAATACTGGCAGCATAGACGAAATTTCAAATTGGTTTAGTAAATTTTTTTTACATACCTGGGATATTCTATCGCGGCGGAAACATTCAGCGCGCGCACGATGAGATTATAGAGAATTTGGCCGTTGAGGAAAACGTCGTTCGAGCCGAGCACTCCACGTAATCCGCATATCCCTTCAGCGTGATGAAAAATAATGGGGGTGAACGTGGACAAATCATCGGTATTGTCTAGGAAAAATCCGGCCATTCTGTTCCCACGGCCGAAAGGCGAACTCAGACCACTGCATCATTTACAAATACGTTAATGCAATGACCGTACAGTTATCTAATAGATGTGTGGAGATATGATTTCTGTTACTAACGATAGGATGCTAACGTAGGTGTCTTGCCAGTCCATTGCCATCACTCCAGTGTACGTTTCTCTTTTCACGTCTAAAATGATGAGATTCATCGTGAAATTAATAGAGAATTACGCGCCGATGTACATAATAGAACCTTGGCACGCGTCTCACCGTATTGCACGTTTTGAGAGAATTGTAAAGATACGTGCATCAATGTTTGAGCAACAAGAGCTTGAGATTCTATAGTGGATGCATTTCCCGCCGAGATCGGGAGGTTCTCCAGTGCTTCGATTACTTGTTGCATAAAAGACGCCTGCGAGGAATAATAAATCGTATAACGATGCAATGTCGAGCTCTTTGCCGTCATTACAGCCGGTTCGTAACTCGCCAACTGTTGCAGCAATCTCTCACGGAGAGTGGTATTTTGTATAATTTCCTGGGACAAGGTGCCGTTGTATAACGCTAAAAAAAATACCGAATATTAATAAAATGCAATCGTGTAGTTAAAGAAAATCGAAACAGAGACGCACGCAAGTTATCTACGGCTGACAAAGTTACAAAACTATACCTGTTGCACCATAATGTGCTACGATGTCCAACGTCTTTGTAAGCTCATGCAATTGTAATCTATCGCCTGGATTCAAAGGGCCAGCGTAAAACATCTCGTAATCCGTATTCCTCGCCACTTCGTCCGCAAGATCCTTAGATACAACAAATCCTTGCCGAGCCAACTCGGCGACGGGTTCAACAACGTCGCGCCACGGCAAATTGCCATACGATCTTTGAGCAAACTCCAATCCCTTCAACAGAGCTGGTAAACGTATTCCAGCCTCGGCAAAGAAACCTATACAACAAAGAATAATTTCGCTCGTGTTACATTAAAACAACAAGTGAATAAAGGAGGCCAATCTTGACGAGCACGAAAGTTAACAAAGCAATATATATATTTTAAACTTCAAGATGCTACAATTGAAGTGCAGATCCGCGGACGCGTTTCGGCACACAGTGTTTTCATCAGTGCAAGTTTAATTGTGCGAATATTCTGCCAAAGTGATTCGCCAGAACGCAGCTGTTTCGCTGGCATACTATTTAGAAATACGTTATGCAAGTATTTATCAATATTTGATGAAAAGGTCTCTATTTTTGCATACGTTCGAAACGTATGCAAAATAGAGACCTTTTCGTGTACGCATAATTCCAGCACTCCAAGTTTCATCCAGACATCGTCACATAATTCTCCAAGTATTTTCCTATCGGGATCATACAGTTAGAAACAGCACAAAGCTGTATTTACCTGTGCTTGTATTGCTTGCAAAATCAATAACGATCGGATGGGTGTAATTCTTGTAATTATATATCATTATATGGCCGCCTCTGGAAACAGAATCTAGATTAGAAAGGGCAACGATGAAGATTGGCCGGCCAACAACATCTCACCCGCCAAGGCCAGTTTTATGAGGCGCTACCACAGCCATGCAGATCGTCGCTGCTACCGCGGCGTCGACCGCATTGCCTAATCTCGCTAGTATCTTGGTGCCAATCTGGGAACAATTGGAGTAATCTGTGGCAACTGCTCCGTGAGCGCCATGAAGGCTGCCCTGAAACGTGACCAGGGTATCGTCGGAATGTTTTTCCACCAAGGTTTGTCGCTCTCTTGTACTTGTAATATCCTACCTGCGGTATACTCTCGGTATAAAGGATTTGTAACACCAGCATGGTGGTGATGGCGAAGGTCAACGCGGCGAAACAGACGACGATGAATTTCAGTCCGTTGCCGCAGTAGGCGCAGAGTCTGTATTTGTAGCTCCTCTCCTTCGTCAGCGGGCATTCTTCTGTGAGACCTGCAAACGTTTTAACTTGTACCCTTTCCTCTGGTCGTGTATTTGTAAAAATTGCTACGCTCAAAACTTGAGACGACTTGGACTAAATTATCGATTAACTTATTATTATAAAATATGCAGTATGTTGGCATGGATAGAATAATTTTTGTTTAATAGACGAAAAGAAGGATTAAATTAAGGGCCGCAAGTCATACAGTTAGAACTAAACAATTCTGACGGTTTTGAATTAATTGCGATGATCGAGCAACGTAAACGTAGTGCAAATGTAGAATATTTAGGTCAACGCAAGGCGGAAGGCGTGTTTGTGCTTACGTGTGTTGTAACTCATTTTCTAATTCTCGTCGCTTCGTAATAACTTTGCACGTTATCGCGATATTCGTAACTTGTGCTCTTTTCAATGGAATATCGAGAGAATTGCAATGCGCAACAATGTCAACAAATTCACCGAAACAAAAACGGGAGAACGGAGAGAAGGAAACCTAGGCAGGTCTTCGGGCACAGCTTTTGTGTGGGGAAACTTGAGGAAATAACTCAACCTCTGGTTATAATTGAAATGCTTAATTTGTAAACGATGTGAACAATACGGAGGGAACGGTTTTTGCAATAAACGAAAAGCGTTGTCGCGAAAAGTTAAATCAACATTTATAAACGGAGCAAACAATTGTAAAATGAAGTTGGCAAAACTCGCGTCAAAAACAGGGTCGCCACGTTTAACCATAGTACAATTGGTACAACCTAGAGTCCACTATGGTCCCAGCTTAAAGCCTATCACACAATGCCTGGCAACAGGCAATAGGAATAGAGAATAGAATTTTTGACGCGTTGGATTCGTCGGAAATTTTTTTCCAACCAATCCAACGCGTCAGAAATTCTATTCCCTGTTCCTATTGCCTGTGCTTTCCTATTGTGTGATAGGCTTAATTATCATCCCTCTCGCGCGCAGCTCTGGGGCCTTATTCTCGAAAAATATCGCATGCGATATTTTATGAATGTCACCAGAATATTATACTTAGGCCCGGGTTCACAGTGGCTAGTTAGCTTAACCAGTTGTTAAGTAGTGATACCAACCACTGACACAAAATTCGGTAAGCTATTTACAAGGTTATATATATGTATACATATATACACTATATGTTGTACATATACATCAATATATCAATCACGAATATATCAATATATATGTATATTTTTTAAGCTTATTTGTGAAAATGCAACTTGTCAAAATCTAACCTTGAATTCGGTAAGCTATTTACAAGGTTAGATTTTGACAAGTCGCATTTTCGCAAATAAGCTTAAAAAATATACATATACATATATTTAAACACTGAAATAATTGGTGTCCTTTTTAGCAATCCAGAAATTTTTTATGTTTCCTAATTCGCGAGGGCGACAGTTGATGCTTTGCTGATTATACTCGTCCAATATCTTTAGCCAAGCCTCTTCTTTTTCTTTAACACTCACAGCATCAGTCCGCTTATTTTCTATTATCAATTTGTATTTTTTTATTAATGATACAAGTGCTAGTTTTTCAGCTTGACAAAAATTTGGTGCTCGTATACGGTTTATTTTCATATCCATTTTTATTATGCGATGAGGTATCGTAATAATGAGGATGAAACTGGAATTTAATTATTTCAGTGATTAAATATATGTATATGTATATTTTTTAAGCTTATTTGCGAAAATGCGACTTGTCAAAATCTAACCTTGTAAATAGCTTACCGAATTCAAGGTTAGATTTTGACACGGTGCATTTTCGCAAATAAGCTTAAAAAATATACATATATATTTGATATATTTGTGATTGATATATTGATGTATATGTACAACATATTATAGTGTATATATACATTATATAACCTAGCTTGTAAATAGCTTACCGAATTTTGTGTCAGTGGTTGGTATCACTACTTAACAACTGGTTAAGCTAACTAGCCACTGTGAACCCGGGCCTTAATATTCTAGTGATATTCATGAAATATCGCATGCGATATTTTTCGAGAATACGGCCCCTGACCGCACGATAACAATGGAGTGCACCCACCCAGTATGTTTACAGCTCAATGGTTTTGCGCCGGTCCCTTCTGCGCATCGGTCATTTTTTTGGCCCAACCAATAAGAGGAAGGTATCTGTGTGGTAGTGCGAAATCAGCGATACTACTTGTGAAACGAGTGTATTACGAGCTTAGATAATATTAATAATTTTAAAATGAAGAAAGGCAAACCGTACAGAAAGTGCAGTGTCAAGAGCTGTAAAATTACCGATGGGAACTTGAGTTACCGTTCCTTTCGCTTCCCTAAGGATGACAAAAGGTTATATATTCTCAACTCTATGTTTACAAGCTAAAGATTTGCTTTTCAGTCTAATATAATCGAAAACAAATTTTAGGGCAAAGCAATGGGCAATTGCATGCAATCGTCAAGATCTTGTGCTGAAAACAGCGGAATCTTTATACGCTACCAACAGGGTTTGCAGCAAGCACTTTGAGGACAAAATGTATTCGAATGATTTACAAAATCGTTTGCTTCCTTCAGCTCAGCCGACTTTGTATCTCACTGAAGATGAGGAAGAAAACGATTGCGCTGCAAGTATACTCTAATTCTTATACGTCTGTAGAATATAAAAATCCAGCAAACAGGATAATGTCAAATAATATATTAATAACATTTGTATATACATATACACAGTTCCGACATTAATAATACATTATTAAAGTTGCGGTCAAGCTGCCACTACAAATGCTTCGAGGTACTTTTCTCTTTCTATCTTTACTGAAAGAAAGGAGAAGAAGAATACTTTGAAACATTCGAAGCGATAACTTGACCGCAGCCTAAGCCTAATGTTACATTTGTCATACGATAAATTTTTTAAGCGCGTTGTCGATTGGCTGCTGAATAAAAACTTTCTAGATACTCGAGAATTTTACTGTCCTGCAGCCAATCAACGTGCTGAAAAACATTTGTCGTGCGACAAATGTAATACCAGTCGTGAGTCTAATCTACAATGTGCTCTCTGTATCTAGAAACATTTTATTTTGTAGTCACTAAATACATTTAAAAAGTTTGCGCAAGTGAATGAATTGTATATTATATATTGTACAATTGTACATTGTCGACAAATGTTTTAAGCGTTTCGACTTGTTTATATAAAATAGAATGTTTCTAGATGCAGAAAGCACATTGTAGATTAGGCTGAAGGCATCTTTTGGTGTCATCGTGTTTCCTGGGAATATACCAAATATTCTGAGGATGTATTATATGTTTGCTATATCCTCTCAACATTCTTACAATTAGATTATACATATTAGGACAATTAGGATAACATGATGGCCAAAGAATAAATAAATTCACATTAATAGAAAATGTAATTTATAAATGAAATATCGTTTAGAAAATGTTTATTTTATACTCTTTAGAAAGTAAGCAATCCTACTTCATAATAAATCACTGGCAGAAACATCGGTGCCTCGCGATGTCGCAATTGATCATGAGATATTTATCAGATGCAAAAGCTATAAAATTAAAGTATTTTTAATATTTCATTTTACAGACTGCTTCGAATTCGTCTTTAAAGGAAGAAATGAACTTGCTGGAACCATACGTTTCAATAATTGAAGAACCGCCTGTTCAGGTACAAAATCTTTCGTACTTTTTTTATGATTAAAAAAATAATGTAATGGTAAAAAATTACTGCCTGCATTCCCAAATTTTATTATTTCTCTTCCAGAGCGTAAACTTTGATCACGATTACGCAGGAACTGCGGGAACTGCAGCGGTATCCGAGTGTCTTCCACAAACTGCTGCCCCAGTATCACTGGTTAGCAACTTGGTGAGCTAATTGTATTTTAATTATAGAAAATGTTTGCACTTTATATTTATTTTGTGCCCTTCGATTTATCAAATTTTATTGATTTTCAACGATCGTGAAATTATGTTCTGTTTATACTTGAATTTGAAATAAAATAGAAAGAAAAAAGGAAGGCAGAAAGAGCCGACGCAGGATGTTAGTTGCGGAATACAAAAGTTTAATAACATTCATAATGGTCAACTTTCGATCAACTAATGCGATCCTTTTCAATGACATATAAAAAAATTAATTATTAATATAAATATAAGTTAAGAGTGTATTAGGGAAGGAATGTGTTACTCTATGTACTGTTATCAGATTATACAAGATGTTGAAATATAAAAAAGATAATAAGCGTTATAGACAAATACATACTGCAAGTGAGTCCAAGATGGTGTGAAACTTATGGAAAGTTCATATTCCGTGCGTGAGAAGATTTTTGAAGTTGTCAGCGCAATTATCTACGGAATAATGGCCGATATGTCAGTAAAACAAGCAAATTATGGTTGTAACATCCTGCGTCGACTTTTACTGCCTTCCTTTTCTCTTTCTATTTTATTGTTTATTATCAGAGTCCTTAGACTATTTTCATTCTGAATTTGAAATAATAAAGTACCTTTAATTATTTTTAGCTTACTCAATTTCACAATTATTTCAGAATTATACAAATGTACGAACGAACGTTTCATCTACCATTGGAAATGCCACCACCAGTTCCCACAATTTTGGAATAAATCACAATGAGACACCTAAAACTATTATCTTACAACCAATTCGTAGCGTCTCCACTTCTCTTCAATCTTCAATCGTCGTTCCTTCAGCAAACTACGGTATTGTGGCAAATCCTCAAATCACAGTTGCTGCGCCTTGCAATGTTGTTCGTTTGTTTTCTCCAGAAAAAGATTCAAAGAATATACAACACAATAAAGTCCAACTATCTGCAAACCAAAGTCTTGATAAAAAAAGTCAAACAACACGGGATATACGTCGTCGTAGTCCAAAAGAATTACAATTGAGAAAAGAAAATCAATATTTGAAAAGAGAGAATGCTACTCTGCGAAAAATGATTGAAAAAATGGATATAAATATAGATCAATTTTTAAAATGTTGCGATGAATACTTATCGCCTCAAACGGCACTATTTGTTAAAGAGCAAGTATTAATTCAAAACAAAAAGTCCAGAGGTCGGAGATATTCTTTAAAAATGAAAAAACTATGCTTGAATCTGTATTTCAAGGGGCCGAGAATATACAGAACTTTGTCATCGATATTTTCCTTGCCATCCAGAGCGACTCTTACCAGAATGACAACCGATATCTCTTTTACGAGCGGTATAAATAAAGATGTGTTCGATTTACTCAGCGTTAAAATTGGAAATATAAAAGAGTCTGAAAAATACTGCATGGTTTGCTTCGATGAAATGTTACTAAAATGCCACTTGTTTTATGACATAAAAGCCGACGAAATCATCGGCTTTCATGACAATGGGAAAGAAAGACAATTCAAATCAGCAAAACTTTCATGTGTCTTTGTTGCGAGAGGCATTTTTAGCAATTGGACACAACCACTTGCGTACGAATTTTCACATACAGCTTGTCCAAGCACAGTTTTACAACAGTTACTTGAACAGTGCATTAGTAAGTTGCAAAACATTGGTCTAAACGTTGTACTCGTGGTGTGTGATATGGGTCATAACAATACAAAGCTCTCAAACAATCTAGGAATTACGCACCAGACCCCATATTTCACGCTGAACGGCCAAAAGATTTTTTTCATGTATGATGTCCCACATTTGTTGAAAGCAACCCGAAATATGTTTTTAAAATATATTTTCACGTTTGGTCAATTTCTTGCCAAGATGGAGTATGTAAGACAATTTTACGAGCTGAATCAAATGGTACAGTTCAAGTTAGCGCCGAAATTAACTAGCGCACACATTAATCCAGACCCTTTTGAGAAAACGGAAACTCGACGAGCCACTCAGCTTTTCAGTCAATCCGTGGCAGCAGGCATAAATGCGTACATTCATTTTGAAAAAATACCAGCTGAAGCAATGGGAACGGTAATTTTCATTGACAAGATGGATAAACTTTTTGATATGTTAAATTCCACCGCGAAATACAAGGGAGAAAAACTACATGCCTATGTTTTCGAAGGAAATGATTTTCAGTTAGCATTTTTACAAGAATGTTTAAAGTTCTTCGATTCACTCCAAGTTATCAATTACGATGGCCACAATGTGACAAATCAGATGAAATTCATCAAGGGTTGGAAAGTTACTATTTCTGCTTTACTGCAACTATGGGTCTATCTTAAAAAAAAAGATTTCCTTTCTGTGCAAACTCGGAGATTGAATCAAGATGTTGTTGAAAATTCATTTGGAAACATTTGTCTAAAAGAAGGAAAATGTTTGATACCTTCAGCCATTGAATTTGTTAAAACATTCAAAAAATTGCTGTTTCACAATTTTTTCAACGCTGGGAATAAACATTGTGACGACGATTTTGACACAATTTTGCTAGATTTACACAGATTGAATCAACATGAGCTCAAAGAAGTTAAGGAAATTAATGAAAGAGGAATTTTCGATGACTTTACGCTAGATGACTTAGAATATCAAAAGCTCGATTTAATTGAAAAAAATTCAATCCGTTATATATGCCTTTATTTGATTCAGAAATGTTTGAACAAGCATTCGTGCCAAGTTTGCGAAGAATATACTATTGATCACGTAGAATTTGAGGACTCAATAATTTCTTGTTTTTTAAAAGCATACCAAAGTAAAAATTCAATTTTCGGCAAATTAAAAAGACCACATAACAATTTAATTTTTTATGTTTGCTATTTAGAGGCGATTTTTAATGATCATTTTGAACGCGTTAGTCTAGAAAAGAATATCATTAATACACTGTTGACAAAGACTGAATTAATTACGTTTGAACACCCTTGTAGAAATTTTCCACATTTCTATTTAAGAAAATTATATTTTAGAATGCGTTTGTTTTACGTTTTAAAATTTATAAATCGTAATTTTAAGTTAAATAATCCTAATAAAATGATCATATGGAGACTCGACTAACGTTTCATCTCATTTATATTGTAAGGTGACATTGTAAACTTAAAATAAAATTTGGTATTGTAACAATGTGAAGTTTTTTCTCTATGTTTGAATTAACAACACTGGCAGGATGGCTACATCTGTTAGTCAAAACGTATGATAGATGATTAATTATTAAAAAATTGTTAAAAAGAACAGACCCTAGGTAATAGCATGACAACACATAGCGAGTTTTTTTAAAAAAGTTTATTATTCAACCTAGATCGTGAAACATGCGAAACATAACGAGTTCGTACGAGGCTCGGAGAACGTTCTCGAGCTTCCCCTTACGAATCCGCATTAAACATACATCCTAGAAAATCGGTAGACGAGTCGTCCTCCCAACAATCAATATACTTTTCTTTACACCGTACGCGCGAAGCGTTGAAGTTACACCTCGTCAATTCCGTCGGACTAGACGCGTTCGGTTTCACGCCGTAATAACTTTCTAGAAACCCCAGCACGGACGATTTACTCTGCAGGCTATTGAACAACACCCGGTCTTTCCTCGGCAGAATCTTTTCCAACATGAATACCAGATGGTGGTGGAAACACTGAAATTCCGTTGGTATAGTCGACGTGATGTCCAACCAATCTTGAACGCAGGTGAGCGGAGTAGCGGAGTATCCCGAGAACAACGCCGGGTTACTCAAGATACCCCTGGCGGACATCACGCCCTGGCACTTGGATTCTTTAAACAAAAACTCCGCGCTTTCCAGGCTCTTCGCATCGCCGTTCGCCACAAGCGGCAGCTGCACGTGGTCCCTGAGAAGCTTGAGGCTGTCCAAGTCGATTGGCTCGTTACGCATCTCGGGAGTCCTCGCGTGAATTGTTAAGAACGAGGCACCGGCCTTCTCCAAGGTCTGGCACAACGCTACCGTCTGGCGTATGTCCTTCAACAAACGTATCTTCACGGAAACGGTGAACGGCCGTGGAATACGATTTCTAACTTGATACACGAAGTCCCTCACGAGCTCTGGTTTTTTCAGTAAATCAGCCCCGTATCCCTCCTGCATGGCCCAGCGTTGTGGACAGCCACAGTTTAGATCTACACCGTTGCAGTATCTGTTGATTAGAAGAATACGTAAGATAACGTCCAATCTACAATATGCTCTCTGGAAACGTTCTATTTTATCCAAACAAATCAAAACTTAAAAAATTTGCCGACAGTGTGCGATTGTACAATGCACAATTTGATGAACTCGCATAAAACATATTTATTGAAGCAAAATTTAGGAATATTGAATCGCCAGTAATTAGTTAACAATTAGGTTGAATAATCTGGTACAACTGGCTACAGGAAACTTCCTTTATTAACACAACGTTTCGGCCATGGGTTTTGGCCCTTGCCAAGTGAATTCTACAGCTTCTAGTCTAGCAGAAATGAGACTGTTTCTATGCCCATACCAGAGAGATATAATGTTTTTGTAGCGACACTCCAAACTCCAGTGGGCCTAATGGCATTTGACCACATGCCATACGCCGACTAGAAGCTGTAGAACTCACTTGAAAAGGTCCAAAACCCATGGCCGAAACATTGTGTTAATAAAGAAAGTTTTCCGCAGCCAGTTGCGTCGGATTATTCAACCTGATTGTTCGTATTTATTGATTAATAAAATAGAATGTTTCCAGCCACAAAGAGCACATTGTAGATCAGACTTAAATATGATATAAAATTTGTCGTACAACAAATGTAATACAAATGGATTTATGACAAACTTACGGCGCAACCATTTCTGAAGCGTCGATAAAGTCATTTACAGTCTTAGCCGCAAATTGGACAATCAGCGGCTGATCGTCCTCGTGCGTAGTAAATTCGTTGTCCCGAGCTTTCGAGGACTGCACAAACGAGTCCGCCAGGATCATCGGGGTAAAGCATATATCACATCCGTACCGTCTCACGAGCGTTCTAAACTGCAGTCTGGCAAAAAGCACAAAGCCTAATCTACAATGTGCTCCTTGCGTCCAAAAACGTTCTATTTTGTGGCCAATAAATGCGTTTAAAAAATTTGCGCAAGTCGATAAATTGTACGTTATCCCAGTTAGCAGATTGGCAGCAGATTCGTCAGAAAGCCACACCAAAACCGTGGCCATCTGTGTCCGCAGTTGGCTCCTGTTTTGGCAACAGAGTCTGTAAAGCATACGCTGTCAACAGATTGTCGGCAGAAACCGAGCAGAGATTCAGTTACGTGAGCAGATTTTGTTGTGATTCTGCTGACAAGCTGGCAACATGTCGAATAGATCAGTTGCTGTATGCAATCTTTCTGAAAATTTGTAGTGGGGCATTTGACGAAATCTGTTCTCGACAGATTCGACTGTCTGGGATACGTGGTCGACGAATTTTCAAAGCGTTTCGATTTGCCTACACAAGAACGTTTCTAGACGCGAAGAGCACATTGTAGATTAGGCGTTGTTAAGCATCAATGCTATAATACAACAATGCAGGCGCAAGAGAACATTACTACCACTTACTTGCTATATCTGACCATCGGGGCACATATCTTTATCATTCTCGGCTCTTTTAACGTTTCCATCACGTCGGTAGTCATTGCGGTAATATTTCCGATGACCGCTTCGATGTGAAAAAATGACAGGTTCTCGTAATTAAATGTGAAAAAACAAGTCCAGCTTCTAACCTAAAAGGAGCACAACAAAAACTTTAATCGAAACTCTAGGTCTGTTCGTGTCGCCAACTAGAGTTCCTAGAAGAGAGAGTCTGGACAGTCTTGTCAGTGTTGTCATTGGCTTTGAAGCAAAATGGCGGAACCAATCGCCAATGCTATATTCCCACTTCAAGTACTGTGAGCGCGGTTGAATTTGAATTTGAGAAACGAGTGCCAATTATTAGATTAAGTAAAATTAGTAATAAATTACAAAGAGTGACAATTTTTAATTATCATTGTTTAAATCATAATAATGTATAAGAGAGGAACCTGAGAGCGGCCACGCCGGCGTTTTAAGCCTGTCACACAATGCCAGGCAACAGACAATAGGAATAGGGAATAGAATTTTTGACGCGTTGGACTCGTCGGAAATTTTCTTCCAACCAATCCAACGCGTCAGAAATTCTATTCCGTTCCTGTTTGCATGTTGCCTGGCATTGTGTTTGGGCCTTTACTTGATACGAGAGCCATTTGAAAAGTTTCCGGCCTCATCGACATAATGGGTTTGTTTTCTGTTCCTGCACTGGTGAACTAGTGCAGTAAGCTAGAATGAGAAAAAATATGCTTGTCTTACTCCAATTTATTGCACTAGTTCACTAGTGTAGGAACAGAAAACAAGCCTAAAGTAACTGTAGAAAAAATTTCTTTCGCCGTCCGATAGATGGCCTTGACATATGTAAACCTTAAAAATTTCAAGTCATTCTGATCATTACTTTGTCTATGGCACTCTTCCAAAGTTGTCAGCTGACATTGTCTGTCAACAATGGAGAAAATCGAGTATCGCGCAGTGATAAAATTCCTTTACTTAAAAGGGAAAAAGACTCAGGAAATAAAAGATGAGTTAGACTCTATATACGGTGAAGCCTCCCCTTCATTTACAACGGTCAAACATTGGGTGGCCGAATACAAACGTGGTCGTACGAGCATTTTAGACGAGGAACGTTCCGGGCGCCCGAAAACCGCTACAACTGACGAAATGGTCGATTTAGTGCATCAAACTGTGATGGAAGATCGTCGATTGACTGTTAAGGATATTGCCGAGGCTTGTGGGATATCATCTGAACGGGTGCACAAGATTTTACATCAAGATTTGGATATGAGAAAATTATCCGCGCGCTGGGTGCCGCGCTTGTTAACGATCGACCAAAAGCGCATACGGATGGACATGTCGCGCGAGTGTCTTAGCCTGTATCAAAAAAATCCAGCGGAATTTTTGCGGCGAATGATAACCGTCGATGAAACCTGGGTACACCACCATACGCCTGAGACCAAACAACAGTCAATGCAGTGGATTGCGGTGGAGGAACCAACTCCGAAGAAGGCAAAGGTCGTTCTCTCTGCAGGAAAAGTGATGGCGACAGTTTTTTGGGATAGCTGTGGAATAATTCTTATCGATTACCTTGCAAAGGGTGAAACAATCAACGGACAGTACTACGCTACATTGCTGGATAAATTGAAGGCCACAATTAAGAAAAAACGTCCGCATTTGGTCAAGAAAAAAATCCTGTTTCACCAGGCTAACGCTTGGGTTCACACGTGCTTGGTCGCAATGTCAAAATTGAACGAATTGAGGTTTGAATTGCTTCCGCACCCACCCTATTCGCCAGATCTAGCTCCCAGCGACTTTTTCCTGTTTCCTAATTTAAAAAATTTTCTCGGGGGAAAAAAATATAAGTCAAATGCTGAGGTGGAAAACGCTGTAAACCAGTATTTTTCAGGTTTAGACAATCAATTTTTTTCTGACGGTTTAAAAGGATGGGAGAAACGTTGGACTAAATGTATCGAGTTGCAGGGAGACTACGTCGAGAAATAAATTTTGTTTTGCTTTGAAATATGTGTTTTTCTTAAAAAGGCCGGTAACTTTTCAAATAGCCCTCGTACCGTTTCAAGAGACTGTTTTGCGCGCCTTTACGCCCACTTTAAAGCGTCGTCTACAATAACCGGCGTAAGCGTGGAGTAAGAAG